TTATAACATACGAATCGAAGTTTGTAGTTTGATGTGCACATAGGCAGGGAGCAATAACATTGAAACTGTAGCACTTGGCATTGCGCGAACGGGCGAGAAAAATGAGCTTTAATAACTTTCCACAAATAAGCATAAAGATATTTATAACATACGAATCGAAGTTTGTAGTTTGATGTGCACATAGGCAGGGAGCAATAACATTGAAACTGTAGCACTTGGCATTGCGCGAACGGGCGAGAAAAATGAGCTTTAATAACTTTCCACAAATAAGCATAAAGATAATTATAACATACGAATCGAAGTTTGTAGTCTGATGTGCACATAGGCAGGGAGCCATAACGTTGAAACTGTAGCTCTTCCTTGCGAGATATGGAGATCACTTGGGCCATAACATGAGATTTGTGTGTTTGAATAGCGCGCAGCCAGCTCAAACTCTTATAGCTTAAAGAGGCTTCAAAAATAAGCTGCACAAATAAGTAAGTACAATAATTACATATAAATCAGTTCGTTCCAAATTATCAGAAGTAAACACCGCAAAGGCCGAGTCAGTTTTCGCTAAAAGCGCGCAATAACCTGTATTTTAACAACATACAAAGCAACAAAGTAATCTGTACTTTCACATAAAAATGCAATAAATAATGAAAACAAATTGCAAATAATCCAAAGATGTGACAAAAACATGTTTGAATTAATTCTTGGGTATTTTTAGAACWTGAAATTCCGGTTTTTAAGTACATGTTATAAGGTATCAATTTATAAATCCRTAAACCCACCTCATCGTACAGCTCCATTGTTGTAGCCTTCAAATCCAATTCACACTGATCAGAATGATCGTTTTGCAAATAGGATATCTGCAAGGGAAAATCGATCAGTTTTTAGCTTTATTTCAGAAGGTTTATATCAATTTAGAAGCCGTTTTTGCAGTAACTTGCTGCCTGGCTTGTTCGTAAAAGTCTCACCTCGCATAGACTTGTGGGATAGGGAGAATTTGTGTCGTCATCATCATTCTGGTAAACAGSTGAGTCAGKTATAAGTTGAAAATCACCGATTCATGGAGTGCGTTCCTAAAATATCACAAGACCAGAGACAGTAAAGTTGTTAGTGGTTATGGAGAGAGTTTTTATTAACAAAATGATTAGATAGTCAACTTAAAATATTAATAAAAAGATCAAAGCTTATGAACTTAAGTAGACTAAAAAGAATTTTAACTTTAGAACAGAAACCCTAGCGATCTCTTTTACACTGAGTTGAAAACCTTGTAATATATATAGGTATTTCATAAATAATTATATGATAAATTCTTTTGTTCAGTAACAGACTCTCGGACAAATGCAAGAGATCGATATGAATATAGAAGAAAATGAAATAGTCTTACACATAATTGAGGCTACATAGTGTAAAAGAGATCGCGTTATTGAGAACAAGACGATGTAGAAAATACTGAAGAGTGAAGAATGAGAAAAAAACAAGCGTGAAGAATCGAGATAAGCTCAAGAAGGAGAAGAATCAATATGAAAAATAAAAATAAAAGATTTGACTCAACACTGCATTGTTTGATATGACAAACGAGGCAGTCAGGACATCGAACTCGYGTCAAAACTTTCACTAGCAAGCGCAAGAGAAAGAYGTATATAGTATGAAGGATAAAAATAGGAACAAATCGTTAAAAATAGCTTCAAATAGCTAGAGATCAAGGGCTTATGAATAAAACTATTTTTAACCAGGAAGATGTGTAACTGATCTGCATGAAATCTCGATGATTGAATTTCAACATACTGCATCTACCATGAAAAAAAAAACAACAAATTCTGTCATATGTAATACCACTTTACTTTAGAACTTATAATAAGACACTATAAAATTCTCACGCTCCACTGATAAAAGACCGTGAATACAGCTATTTTGAGCACGGTTGCAAGAGCCGAATGTGCGACCGAATAGTATTCTGGGTAGTATTCATTATTAAAAATATTCTCCTATCAAAAGCAAAAGAGAAGCTGTTGCTTACACTATATGACTGTTTTTTGTTTCGTTGATTGTTTGACAGTTTTTTCAGTCAGCACACATCAATCTGACATTGACACAGGCAGCCTAACCAATCATTTTCCGTCGTGCATTCTCGTCTCTGATTCTTCTCTCTGAAGGTTTCTAAAYATAATTGAATATGACATGTCGACATATCGTCCTAGTTGTCTTGCCTCTATGCTGTCCATAAAGGACTTTAGCGAGTTTGTTTTTACCCTTCCGCTAAAGCTTGACAATTAGCTTCCAGTTTCTTTCCTTTGACAAACGCCTGTCGAGGAGGGTTGTGAACGACTGTCGAGGAGGTTTATATATTTAGTAAAAYCTACACYTCTTTTGTTTATGCGACATCATGCAGAGTATCCCTTTATACGTACGCGTTATCTACTGGTTCAAAAAATWCGTTGCAGAACCTATGGTTAGTGTGCATGTGCCGGTCTAAGCCAYGTACCATGTGTACGGAAGGTCATAAGTTTATTAGAGTTTATTAGCCGATATATGATATTGTTTTGGTCAGCTTTTTTGTAGAAGGATTATTCTATTGCAACAGGATCAAAACAAGCTTTATAACTGTTCCTTTGCTTAGGCGTATAGTACGTTTATATAACCCCATCCCTCTTAGTAGGCCTGATATACTCAGGGTTATGTGACTGGTAAATATACATGGCACCGTGACAACCAGTTATCGAATGGATATCTACATTTTGCGTCTTTCTACTCTTACTGAGAAACTTAGACAATGAAAACACACAAAAACAAGACAATTAGTACTCAACACAAATAAAGCGTTTTTCAATATTAAAAACCTCCATGACCAGAGTCACATATTAACATACCTCAATGTCAATTGTGGATATGCATTTTCACAACGCCGTCAGACTCACTGCTTACTAGACTACGTTGTTTTTGTTAAAGAGTTGCGCTTAGAGTCAAGCTAAACCTCGGCGCTTTGTATAGCACAAAACCAGGGTTTCCCCGCTCAATGACGTCACTCACACTTGTTATAACTTCCCGTCACGTGATTAACCCCGCGACACGGTTTCAGACGAACCCGGAAGAATGTTGGGGGAATTTATCAATGATCCTTGAAATGTATATGAAAGTATTTTACATAATGTATTGATCATTGTAGAATTCTCCCAATAAAATTTGCGTTTCAGCGCAAAGAAAGTTAGTCTGCTTTTGTAAACAAATAACACGATATTTTTGTCACTGACTTGAGCGTTGTTTATTATTATCCAATTTTCTTTCTATTTGGACTTGATTTATTTCTTAGGGACTTATAAACAGAAAGAAATAGAAAATCAAGCAAACAGCAACAACAAGGACAACAAAATAATTAAAAAAAAAAAAAAAACCAACAAAGCAAAACTAGACAAGACAAAAAACAAACACAAGGCCAGCGAAATTGCGAAATTGGGTTTCCTGTGTTGTATTTGTCCGGTAGAACATGGGTACCACCTCGATTGCGAGGCAACCAATACCAAACAAAAATGGCGGCGAAAACAAAAAAAGTCAAATTTACAAGAAAATAAGCCGTAAAATCTGACAAAACGGCTTTATTATGCTATAATTTTATAAATTATAAAGAGTTTGAAGTATGGTATCCGTTTTTATGTTTTAACGGTAAAATTTCGTGTTAAATTGAGAAGAATATGTCCTTTGGAGGAAGGTCTTTGAAGAAACAACTTCTCAAGAAAGAGCTTGAACAGTTGACAAAACAGTCGCAAGATGAATTTTCCTCCTTGCCTTCTTCAGAAAAAGAAGCTTTGAGACAGAAGACTAAAACTAATGTATTCGAAAGGCCAAAATTGAAAAAGAAAAAGCTTAAAGTTGATGAAATATCCGAAGAGAGAGACATCCTTGCAGAAACTCCATCTGTTGACCTCGAAGCAGAGTTTAAAAATGTCGAGTTTTCGCTCGAGGAATTCCCATTTGTTAAAGACGAAGAAGCTAAGAGAACTACTGGTTYTGCTAAAGTTGCATCGATTAAAGCAAATGTTGATTTGCATGTTGTTATGCAGGGAAAAAAAGTCGATGATAAAAATGATGTTTCGGGTCCTGTTTCTACGGCTCGCAACTCAAAAGCTAGTCAGGTAAAAAAAGTTATTATTTCATAAATGTTTTCGTTGTTTTTAATAAAAAATCCTTGSTCATATACAGCGTTCGTCTGGTACTAGTCCTACTACAAGGCGCAGGCCATTCAGTAGCTCACGAGGTCCTCTCAGGACAACCCCCCCTGTCAACACACATGGTGGAGTCGTTCAAAAGCCAGCCATCATTAGTTCGCAGAATTCCACTATGCAACTTCAGCTRAACCAAAGACCYACACCAAAACCAGTTAATGTCGCTAGCAGGCCAGGGTCAAAAGTATCTGGACGAACATCAGGGAAGCAGAGTCGTGCGAGTTTAGCTCCATCTGAACTGTGAGTTTCAGCAAGGATTATATATTGATTGTACACTAATTCCATGCATTTTCAAAGACAGATGTGTCAGTAAAACTTTATCATTATAGTACAAGTTTTGGAGACAAATACCTAGTAAACCTGGACATGTAATTTTATCTTAAGTGTATTTTTGATTTTTATAGGAGTTTCACTTTAATTTGTAATCTAGCAAGTTGCAAAAAAAAAATATTATAGAAAGGTTTATCCAGTAGTTAAATTTACTGACATAGCATACTGACACTGCTTCATTAGGGTCGAAGGAGAAAATGATACAAACAGCGATCGACCAAGAGAAGTCCACATTCCTCAAGTACAACAAACAGAGATTGTAGAACAAGAAGATGAAATTGAGATGGAAGCAGAAAATGAGGGAGAAATCTGTGAAGAAGAAGAAAATGAAGAGCAGAAAATACAATTATCGCCGCTACCTGAAGATATGGAGGTTAAGGAGGGCAGCTCACCTATCCCTCTTAATCCATCTGATATTATACACTCAGAAATCCAGCTACTGACAAAGTCATTAATGTCACAGGACAGCTCTATCATAAACATACTACAATCCTACGACATTGAAAAAAACACAGAAAGTGAAGCTAATAAAACCAAAGAGATAACTTCTCATAAGAGCRTCAAAACCACTGAMGAAGGCTTTGGTCTCCTTAATGGTGGTGCTCCAATATCTCCGCTGTCGCCAAGGAAATCCGATAATCAGGTGTTTGARAARAAGCATAACGTCAGCCAGAAGAGTMTTGRTGAGTCTAAAACTGATCTGAAGTCAACGCCTCCTACAAGAGAGTGGCCTGGCTTAGTCTCAAGTGAACTAAAGCAGGCCAGCTTAACAAGTTTCACAGATGAAGAAGCACAACAKATCATGGATCTACCACTTGACGTCAAATCAGAAGATATCATTAGCATTCAAGGGACAAAAACACAGATTATTTCATCAGAAGTAACAGAAAAAGAAAGTGTTTCATGGCTTGGATCATGGAGCGAGAAAAAAGTGGCTCAAGAMCATAATATTCACCATTTCTGCACCATGGCAACCACTATGGAGATATCACCCCAGATGCAYCAGATGACGCGCGACAGTCATACTCCAGATAGACTCTATAGAGCTAGACAAAGGTACAACGTACTTGGAGACTCAAACATTCATGAAACAAAGCCATTGTTCACATTCCAAGAAAGTGAGGAGTATTATCGGAATATTTTAGCTGAAAAACCYAGCGATGAAGAAAGAAGAATGTCAATTATCGCTCATAGAATTCTTGATAAGGCWCTTTCAGGTGAACCRGATGAAGTGATCAAAAAGCTTAAGGCAGCTTCTGATCAACTCTTTCTTGATGAAGATGAAAAGACCCTTGAGATYCAGGGCGTTAAGCTAGATGTTAAGGATGACAGCTCTAGGTTATATTGGACACCAGCMCCTCCAAAGATGGGACTGGCCCCAGAGACTATAAAGACCCACTTGTTCCCAGAATACCAAGGGGCAGAGATGTTGAAAGARAGCATTGGTCAAACTGATCATGTTGCTTTGACTGCGCTKCCTGAAAGTGAGGATGAAGACGAGGAGGAGGATGGTACYGCTGTTCAAGACGATAGGACATCAGCGACAAGGTATGAAGGGATGGAAGAACAAATGGGATGATGGATGGATGGAAGGATAGAAGGAAAGGATACCAAAATGAATTCAGAGATGATTGAGTGTCTCAAATATTCATTAGATGATTGATTAGATGGAGAGATATATTCAGATCTGGATGAATGAATGAACGAAATGTTCGATAAATGATTGTGAATAGATGGGTAATTGAATGGACAAAGAAATGAAAGKGAAAGTGGATAAATAAATGAAAAATAAATGATTRAGAATTGMATTGGGAAATGAATAAATGTACAAWCAACATAGTCAAATCCAAAGAATTTTAAATATTGAACAAGCAAATGAATGAATACATTGCCTATTTTTATTTTTAGTATTTCATACTGTTATTCCTTTTGTTTCTACAGRTTCCTTGACAGAACWCACAGGTCTCTATCAGACCTTTCCCAAGTTGGTCTCACTACRGAYACACAGMGACCAAACACAGATAACCAAGGTGATCACAACCAAGAACAYCATGATATAATAAGGTTTGAATCATTGTTGGATARAAGAAGACAACAGATCAAAGAAGAAAAGCAAGATATKGTCAAACTAGACRACAGAGATGGTGATGGTGWGAYAGAWGTGGGAGACTTGGCACCAGAAGAGYATCACAGGTCATTCAGGTACAGTTCAGTCTCCTCTTGCAGCTATTATWTGGCTCATTYCCATGGGAAAACAGGCCATGTAATGGGTATGAGAGGTGACTATATGTAGGTGCAGCCCTGCTACAATCTATTTACATTAAGACTACATGTATGTTTGCCAAATGTCAGATACTAGTGAATATAATACAACTACACTACAACAAAAACAACAACAATGAGAACAACATCAAATACAAGAACAACAGCAACAACAATGACAAAAACAACAGCAATTACAACAACAATTACAACTACTACTACTACAACAACAACAATAGCAACTGCAACAACAACAACTAAAACTACAAACAACAACAATTACAACAACAACAACTACAACATCAATAACAAAATTAACAACAAATACAATAGTAATAGGTTGTTAAGAAATTCAATGTTAGATATTACAAATATTATTTCTTCCTTGTTAAATGTCTTAAATAAATGTGTTTTTTTTTAAATGCAGACGTGCACAATCAGAACCCATGTTGTCTTTTGACAAAGAAATAGTCAAGTTGGTCAGCAACTATGATGTCAGCATGAAAGAGGTAAGAAGGGAGGGGAGGGTGGTGGAGCCAGGAGCTAGAGAGGGGAAGTAGGGAGGGGAGGGTGGTGGAGCCAGGAGCTAGAGAGGTAAGTAGGGAGGGGAGGTTGGTGGAGCCAGGAGCTAGAGAGGGGAAGTGTGAGATAGGAAAGAGGGTGAAAAGAGGGGCTTCTAGGTTGTAAAAATACATGCCATGACAATCGAATGAAACTTGGTCTTTTCTCAGGCAGTAATTGGTTAAATGCAGTTGCCACTGCAATTATGAATAAAATAGATAGAAAAGTCATTATACTAAAATACTTTCAATGAAAAATGTATTTTTAGCTGGAATATCAGTTAAATGCTGTTGCGGCAGCCAAAGAGGAGTTACAAGGTGAAGATGATGCTGATGATGAAACAGAAGCAGATGATAATGACGAACAATCATCAACTGTAAGCAGCAAAAATTAAAAAAAAGATAAACTGATAAATAATACAAAATATAAAAATTTGTGAAAAATGCAAAGCTAAAATTAATGACATTATAAGTCAGAATAAAAGTTGTTGCTGAGCTACATTTAGTTTTTTTTATGCACCGAGCCTTTAAGGAATTATGAATGATAAAACTGTTTTTGAATCTAAACTGTTGACATTATCTTCAAACAAACTGGCAGTTACTGGTTGGATCAAACCAGTCGGTACTACAACACAGTTGATAGACTGCAGTCTATTGATAATTAAAATTGAAATTGAATTAAAATTGCTTGCAAAGGTAATTTTCATTACAACTATTATTTGTTTTTTAGATCAAAGATGTGTCCACCTTGGATTCGTTGTACTCACAAAGCCTTTCTACAGGTCAGTCAGCTGGTCAGTCTTGGACATTTCATGACACATTGTTACCATGATTGCTATACATGTAGATATCTTAGGCCGGGCTCACATGTTGAGCCAGCGTTGCGCCAAACAAAATAGTTTGAATTTAGCACATGAATAGCTCAACGTATGAATCAGTTGAGCTCGGGGCGACTGTAGCATGACAGTGGCATGGCAAAAGCTTGATGGTGATTCAAGAATAATAAACATTGGGTGCAAGTTGTGTGTTATAACGTGTTATAGGATTTTTTCTTAATACGCTTTTAACTGCATTTTGTTCGACCTAAGAATAAACGTTGTATCAAATGTATTTGGGGCGACACAAATTGGCTATTTGGTTCTGCATGCGATGACTCGACGTATACCAGGTCTTAGATATAATCATTGTTTTCTGATGCAGATTTTCCAAGTAAAACCAAAGAAGATGAATCACATGAAGAAAGTAAGACAGACATGGACACAATGTCCATCACCACGACAACCAGYAAACAAACAGCTATGACAATCAAGACACATAGACTRTCRATACCCAGAGGGTAGGTACATGTGTAGCTACTGGTGTTACCA